TTTCTCTGCTGTTGCAGTTTTGCAAATGCTTAGGAAGGATTTGACCCATTGCATTTTGAAACTGCTCATCATCCATGATGGAACAATTCAGCATCAACAGGGACAAGATCAAGTGTTTTGGAGAAATGCTGAGTTTTCTCAATTGCTCATTACTTTTTTCCAGGAATTATCTTTGTTCCAGGAACATCCCAACTGACAGCCAAAGACATCTTATACCGACTCCAGGCTTCAAAGGCCAAGTGCATCATTACCAGTGACACACTGGCACCTGCAGTGGAATCTGTTGTGCCTGACAGCCAGTTTCTGAAAAGTAAACTAATTGTAGGCAAAGGGAGCAGGGATGGGTGGCTGAACCTCAAAGAACTCGTTGCGTGAGTATCCAGTTGTTTGACCTTCATGCCAGAGAGGGGAAGGAGGCTGTACCAGTCAGGTGGCATTGCTGAGTTTTGGGGTTCATTTCCATAACACAAATAAGTTACATTTTTGCCTCCTTCTGTCAACTCACTGCATTATTATTGCACTGTATTAAGTACAGATTTGTCCAACACAGGTTTGGGGACCTAAATTCAGGTCCTTCACCATCTCCTCACTCGGGAGCCTTGTGATTCAGAGTGCAATTGTGACAGGCAAAATGTGTTCTCTGTCTCTTGCCTGTGGTATCTGATGCTTCTGTTTATTTAGTGAAATCATACAGTTTGGGGCTATTTTCCTGTTTAACTCCTAAACCTTAGAAATACAGATTCCTTGGTGCAAAAATTCATATAGTGACTATATTATACTTTTTCTTCTGAAGGGTGGCATCTGCTGAACATAAATGTGTCAAGACAAGAAGTCAAGACCCAATGCTGATCTATTTTACAAGTGGAACTACAGGCTTTCCAAAAATGGTGGTGCAGTCCCACAGCAGTTATGGCATCGGACTTGTATCTGGTGGCAGGTATTACCTTGGAGTTGCTCCCAGTGTCCTCATTAAGTGACATGATCCCTATTACATTGAAAATGTGACTGTAAAACTCCAGTAAATGTAGGCCTTCAATGACTGTAGGATCTTGCCTCTTCCTCATCTTTTCCCTTTCACAGTGAAACCCTCCATATTAAAACCCTCTTGCTGACTCCGTTGAGGTCATCGTGTGCAGTGTTCTGTCTCTCAGACTGCAGAGGAGAAATAAGGAGTGTCCTTTTTGACTCTTACAAACTTTCTACAGAGCCCTGCCTCCTGACACCACTTCTTCCAATGGAAGCCTCCTGTCCTGTCCTTGAATTCTGCTGTGAACTGTGCCCAAGTCTCTCACGCTCTATGTAGCATTTTTATCATCTCTTCTTTATCACCAGGCGTTGGATGAACTTGACTCCTTCAGATATAATGTGGAATACCTCTGATACTGGATGGGCAAAAGCAGCTTGGGGCAGTGTTTTTGCACCATGGATCTGTGGATCTTGTGTCTTTGTACACCACATGCCACAATTTAAACCAGCAGTTATTGCAGAGGTTAGTAATCCGTTTCTCAAGCCATCCAGAGTTGCCAGAATGCCTGTTCCTTCTCTCAGCCATTTCTCAAAACCAGTAAGCTGGCCAACTCTCCTCAACCCTGGCCTCTTGTGTGGGGATGGGACCCTGACTTTCCCAAGAATAAATCTGGAAAAGCTTTGGTCTAGTTCCCTGTCAGCACTTAGGCTTGGGCCTGGGACATGGACACCTTGGAAAGCACAAAACAATCTTAATTGGCACTACTACACTCAGTGGTCTTTCATTTACATATGTGGCTTCTGTTTGACAGTAAGTTCTGTGTGTTCTACAGCAGTGGGACCCACCATTACATTTTCTTCCTACAAAATAACTTTCTCTTTTTCCAGACTCTCTCAAGATACCCCATCACTACCTTCTGCACTGCTCCCACTGCCTACCGCATGCTGGTCCAACATGATCTGAGCAGGTACTGCAGGGGTAGGAGGGAGGCTGGGATATAATGCTGTGACAGCTCTGGCTGCTTAGTTCCTCCAGTTCCTTATTTCTAATTTTTTTTTTTCAGTTAAAGGAAATCTAATTAGGAAGAGTGCTCTCAGGAAAGAGAGCTGTTTTCTGAAACATGAGAATAACTAGTCACACCATGGGCCACTCAGGCTTCAGGCTGGGTCTTTGAAAAGATAGCACAGAGGGAACAAGTGAACTCTTTTTAAGTTGTCACTTCCTCTGAACTTACAGTTTGTAATGTAAACTTATGTCAAGTTTCAGGCAGCATTGGATCAGGGAATTACTGGAGTGTAGTGGAGTTATTCTCATATGCTTGAGAATGAAATGAGCTGTAAGAGGAATTTCACGTGCTGAGAGTTATTTGGCAGCTGTTCCCACCAGTTTGTTACTCTGTAAAATACTCGGGTTGTGAGAAGTGGTTTGTAAGGAGTTTTCACATCTTCAGTAAGGTACTTACTCTTCTCACGTAGGTCTTTCATCCTGGCAGAAGCCAACACAGGTTAAACAGAAAGCTCAGGATGTGTGTTCCTATTCAGCCTTACCCTCAGCTTTAGGTGTACTTGGAAAGCCAAGGGAGGCTGTTTGGTTAAGACCATTCACTGCTCTCTTGAAAAGTTAAAAAAATTATTTCATTTGCTATTCCTCTAAAGGTACAAGATGATGAGTCTGAAACACTGCATATCTGCAGGGGAACCACTCAATCCTGAAATGATGGCAAAGTGGAAATCCCAGACAGGGGTGGATATCCATGAAGGTTACGGCCAGACCGAAACAGTACGTTTCCATTAATTCTTGCAGTATGCCCTTTCAAAGGTAACTACACCAGAGTCACAATGTCCTTGACAGTGGAAAAGGTGAGAATCCGTCGTATTTTTTTTTAAAGACTTTTTATAATTATGATTATATAGTTTCAGAATCAGCTAGCTGCATATTTTAATGGTTCAGATCCCTGTAAGCACCATGCCAGAGACACCTCAGATAAAATAAGTGGTAGGTGATCCTGTCATCATCTTTACATCAAAGGCAGAACTAAAAAGAATAATTTGCTCTGGCTATAAATTTGGCCTCTCCGAGGTTTTAATGAAAAATATTAAAGCAGCTCACATCCCAGACTTCTCTGGAAGTGAACACTAACAAAGCTATTAAGAGTCAAATGTCAGGCATTCTCTCATCCTACCCTTGAAATGGTCCTAAATTATTGAAATAAGATCTGTAATAATTTCGCATCTACTTTCTGGCAAAGTCAAGTGTTTGCAGACGAACCCACTGGCTCAGACTGAGCACAACCAACCTCCTTCCACAGATCTGCCCTGAAATGCCTCTCAACCCCTCTCTGATGTTCTCAAGAACCACAGTACTTTGGTCCTGATTCAGCCCTTGTCACAAAAAGTCACAAAGACATGTCCTGCCTAATGCAAACAATAATAAAATTTACAGGGTGTTGCAAAAAATTTTTTTAAATTAAAATCTATTACGCAGGTGACAATCTGTGCCAACATGAAAGGAACGAAAATTAAACCTGGCTCTTTGGGAAAAGCTGTTCCCCCTTATGATGTGCAGGTACGTCGATATGTTGCAGTTGGGGGTAGATGAGGAAGGAATGCTGTCTGTGTCCCTTCTCTGTCCTGCACTCTGCTGGAACAGAG